GCTGTGACCAGCAGTGCTGTAGAATTTGAAGAGGCACGAATGGAGGGTGAAAGAGAGAAACGTGTCAAGAGAAAGGTGTGTCAAGCCAACCCCGACCGGAACCACCTTCAGCATGGAAACTGATGCCCTCACTGTGGGAGAAGATGCAGATCAAGAATAGGGCTCCACAGTCACCGACGGACCCACCTTGGAAGACTATCCTACTCTGACAATAAGGGATCACCTAAGTGAGTAGTAACCTATTGCTCTAATCACATTTGCATGTTTTCGAACTGCTAGGTTGGCAGAAGCTGGGGCTAACAGTGGGAGCTCACCTTGCTCTCCGGATTTGAACTGGTGACCTTTTGGTCAGCAAGTTCAGCAGCTCAGCAGTTTAACATACTGTGCCACCAGCATGACCTTAACAAGGGTCAGAAGAATGTGCCACACGTTGTTTGAAGTCAACTTAGATCTGCTATTTTTCTTTCCAGATATGGAGGAGTTGGCTAGGGAGAGCATCAGCTTGCTAGCCAGACCCCCCTTGGAGCTGGGAAGCCCACATCTCTCTTCGGCCGCGGCCGTCTTCATCATGCTGAAATCCGCCCTCGGAGCCGGACTCCTCAACTTCCCCTGGGCGTTCAATAAGGCCGGAGGGATCACACCGGCCATTCTTGTGGAGTTGGTAAGTGCCATGCGAGATCTTCTATTTCCATAACAATTTTATTTCATCTCCACCTTTCCCATAATGATGGGACAGAGCCATAGACATGCACCGAAAAGGCCCTGCGGCTATGAGAAATCTAATGGGCTGCACCCAAGATTAAAATGACACAAGCTGTGCTTGCGATTACGACAAAAAGTTTTCATTTTGTAATAATTTTACTCAGATTTTATGATTATATAACCTTACTAGCCGTCCCCTGCCACACGTTGCTGTGGCCCAGTCTGTATGTGTTTGTGTGAGTATATATGTGTGTATGTGTGTGTATATATCTGTGTATATATGTGTGTATATATTTGTGTATTTGTGTGTTTATATGTGTATATGCATATTGTGTATATATGTGTGTTTGCTTATATATATATATATATATATATATATATATATATATATATATGTAGGTGTATATATGTGTGTGTATATTTGTGTATTTATGTGTTTATATGTATACATACATATGTGTGTATATATTTGCGTATATATGTGTACATGAATATTTGTGTATATGTGTGTATATATTTGTTTATATATGTGTGTTTACTTAGATATATACACATGTAGGTGTATATATGTGTGTATATCTTTGTGTATTTGTGTGTTTTTATGTATACATGCATATTTGTATATATATGTGTG